ACCAGAGTATCGCGGTTCGATTACCAGTCAGGGTACATGTCTGGATTGCAGGCCCGTTCCCAGCAGGGGATGCATGAGAGGCAACCATACATTGAAATTTCTCTCTCTCTCCTTCCCTTCCCCTCTAAAAATAAATAAATAAAATCTTTAAACATTTTTTCTTTTAAAATTTCACCTAGAGCTAGCTCCTTACCATGAGAGAAAAGTAAACTCTCCTTTTACTCCAACCCCTGCAGCTCCTACTCCTTAGCACATTACAGAGTACAAGGCTTTCGTAATTCTCCTTGGTAATTATGCACCATGGATAACACTGCTTCTATCTAGCAAAACGAGTAATACCAAAGAGCCAACAGTCTACACACATACTTGTGGAAAAATCAGTTATTTGCAAGTATATTAAGCAGTGATGGTGATAATGATGAATATTCCTTGAACGCTCATTGTGTGCCAAGCACTGTCCTGTTTGCTTTACCCAGATTAATTTGGTTTATTTATATAGCACCCCCATCCCTGCAAAAAGGAAGTAAGTCTTACAGAAGTCATACCATCCAAGATCAAACAGCCAGCCAATGATAGAGTTGAGGCCAGGTCTATCTAGTTCCAAACACTGCATACAGGCAGAGTGCACTCATTAGTTGTAAAGTTAAATAAACTTATGAATTCTTAAGTGTCTCCCCCACCCTAAAAAGCTCAATGTTATTTAGGTTAATGAATTTTTCTGGCAATTTTATGTCTCAATTGCTTCACAGTTGCTGGGAGACGGGAAAAAAAAGGGTATTTTTTTAAAAGCGACGTCAACATATACCACCAGAGGGCAGAGATTAGCAACAACCACATTCAATAAAATAAATAAATAAATAAATAAACCCATCCCATAAAATTCTATTTGATGTTCACACTGTTTTAAATATCCCAGTAATATCTCTATTGCAATCAATAATAAATGTTTTAGTGTCCACAATAAATACAAATTTCAAATCTACAGGCCTAACTGACGTTCCAAATAAGGATAACGAAACTTCCCTGTAACCCTTGGTCAGCTAGGTCTAATTCCTAGTTTGACCAGCGCGAGGGGTGGAATGCTGACTCCAATCCTATTTCCTCCGGTCACTTTGCCTCAGCTATCAGCGTAAAGGGAGAATTAATACTCCCCTCGTCGCGCTCGCAGGGTGATTTATCGCGCTAATGCACACTGACAGCGCTTGGCTCACAGTAAGCACTCAAGTTCGTTTTGGCTGAAAGACATGCACTAATTATTTCCTTGTGCCCCTGAACTCTTCTAAGGCCAAGCGAAAGAACTGCCAAGCTCAGGAAGATGGAACGCCGAGGGAGTCGTAGCCACCGCGAGCACCTTCACCAAGAGCAGTCTGCATCCCAACCCCCTAGGCGAGCCTGATCTGGGAGGGGGCGTCCTTAAGGCTGGACTGGAGCCGCCCCTTCCCCTTAAGCTGCAGAACTGGCCATTTAGAGCAAGGAAAGAAAAGCAAGTGGCAGCGAAAAGGAAAGGTCGAGAGTAGGTATGCCCACCAGATTGGACATCGGTCACCTACCCGCAGGCCTGCTCGCCATTTTGACCGGACACTGACGCGTTGCCTACTGGGTAAGTCAAAGAGGGCGCTCCGGGTCCAGTGCGCAGGCGCCTCAGCTCCCGTGCTGAAGCACTTGGAAGACGCCCGCGCAGGCGCAGTTCTGGCGGCCGAAGTTGGGTTCTTGTGCGTTCCCTGCCCTCTGAATCCTTACCAAAAGAGTAGGCCGGGAATTTTGCGCGCCAGGTTCCAAGAAGCAGTTCATGTGACGTGATGGGAAAAACTCTAGGGAAGCAATTAGAGCATCGGGACTACATCCTGGGTTGTGTTAGTGACGACCTGAGAGAGTTTGGGCAGTATTAATTGTGCCCTTGTGGTAAGCAACATGCTAAGCGTGTTATGGGCATATTCTCATTTAATTTTTTTATTTAATTCTAATTCTTAAGTACTATGAATATCCCTGATGGATAAAGGAGTAAACAGGCTTAGAAGGGTAGGACACACAGCTAGGAAGAAATCCGGATTCATCTTCCAGAATCTCAGAATCCAGATAAAACTTTGGGACTCAATTCTAGGGCCATATGCTACCTCTAGGAGATACTAACTCCTCTCTGGTCTTTAGTTTCTCCAGCTGAAGACCTACATCAAGCCACGTTAGTACAAAGTTAAAGGATAGTTCAGGAAAAAGAAAATATTACCAAATCTAAGATAAATATTGCAGAAATGTGCAAGCAATTAAGGTAAAAGCAAGTATATGTTTAAGGTCTAAACTCCAACATGTTAAGTCTAGGGCATAAAAATCTAGAGACAGGAAAAAAAAATCAAGGGAGTTAGTATGACTGATGTTCAATTATGGTGAACCTTTGCCATCACTACTGTTTGGGTTAGCTAAGGCTGCCATAACAAAATACCATAGACTGGATAACTTAAAAAACAAATTTACTTTCTGACATTTCCGGAAGCTAGAGGCCCATCCAAGTGTCAGCATGGTCAGTTTCAGGTGAGAGCTCTTTCCCTGTGACTGGTAGTGGGCTGTCTTCTGAGTGTGCACACGGCAGGGAGAGAGCAAGCTGTTCTGTTTCTTCTCAGGGCACTAATGGCATCATGAGGATCCCACAGTCAGGACCTCATCTAAGCTTATTTTCCAAAGGTCCCAACCCCCAAATGCCACCACATTATGGGGTAGCATTTCAACATACAAATTTTGTTGAAAAATTCAAGGGGACACAATTTAGACCATAGCAGCTACCCACCAATATGTACTTTTCTTTGGTTTTAAGATGAGACCTGGGACAGTAGACTCCACCTCATTATAAGTTCAAGAGGTTAGATGTAATGGTCTTAGTCCATTTCAGTTCTAAAAGTCTGTTGCCTTCTCTCTTTCTCATTCTCTGTGCCACTACAATTCTCACATTAGTTATCCTTTACACATAACTAAAAATTAACATACATACATACATAATGTTAGTGATCTGAAAGATGTGAAGAAATGCATTACTTTTGTACATTGGCACATTGCCTTAGAAGTAGTAAACTCTTCTCTCTTCCTCTGTACCTCCTAAATTTCAGTGACAAGATGAAGACCTTGCCAAGAGATCAGATACCCAGGATTGTCAAAAAACACAGCTCCTACAGGCTTTTATTCTAGAGTCTGCATGTTTGTTGGTAGTCATTAGTGTTGATTCAGGAATGATTTTTGGCTTCTTTCCTGGCACATGGTAAAACTGCACTTCTCTGAACCCTTAAGGTCAGGCATGGCCATGTGATAGTTTGGCCAAGAAAAATGTGTTTTTAAGAGCAATTTTCCACATTTCTTTCTCTTCTGTAGACTGACTATGCTCAAGATCGTGGAGGCCCCATCAACCTCTATCACTAAAGGTGATGTAGAGCAGAGCCTGTTGTGGTCACAAGTTGAACATGAATGGGATAAAAACTTTGGTGGTTTTAAATCATTTGAAGTTGTAGGACTATTCAGTACAGCACCATAGCTACCTATTCTGATATGAATAGGTTGTTAATAGAGGCAATATGAGGTTCTCAACCATAGAAAGACCTGGCAGGATGCTTCTATGCTTTTTATCCCAGCTGTATCTTCTTCCTTGTTTCCTATTTATTGATCTCATTCATCCATCAGAGAACTCCATGAAAGCACAGATCTACACCACACTCATCACTGTATTCTATCTAGGAACTCAAATGCTGAGCAGATTAACAAAATACTTAACAGGAAGGCTATTATACTTGGCCCTGACCAATCACCAATTTGGTTTCTCATGAGGATTCACGATCTACCACATCATGAAATACTGGTGCACAACACACTCTCCCCTAAGTTACTGTAAAACACTATCATTTCTCCCAATTCTGAATTCAGCTGGGTAGTTCTGCTCCAAGTGGTATCTGCTGAAGCTGGAATATCCAAGACAGCCCCTTCACTCACGTCTGGTGTTCAGTTGGCATTGATTAAACAGCTGAGATTTGATCAAGAATCTCCATCAAGAGGGTAAGACCTGATGTGCAAGTGGTTATCAAGCAGAGGCTTGATGGCGTCCCTTGGACCAAACCACATTGGCTCAGTTTCATCCTGGAGGAAACTACATGAGTGGAAATACCAGGTGTGGGTCCCTATAGGCACCCAGTGTTAACGTTCTACTCAATCTTGAAATGCTAAGGCAGATAACTGAAGTGATATTGCCTCATTTTCCAAATAATCAGACTCAGAGGTTAAATCATTTGCCCAGGATTACATATCTAAGCAGTAAATGTAAAAAAAAAAAGTATCAATTCACGTTATAAATCTTTGCACACAGGAAGTCACTTGTTAGGACCTTTTTCTATTTCTTACTGTCTACTTACCTGCAAACTACTTTCCTATCACTTTTCCTTTCCTGATTCTCAGTGGCCACCCCTGGGTGACTCTGAATATCTTTGCTTCAGAAGACAACAGGGTAGAGAGTCCAAAATTGCATGTGCTTTGTAGCATTATCTAAGTGAATAGAAGAAAATGCAGCTGTCTTATGATGAAACCACTTTAAAAGGCCTGTAACTGAAAGAGGAAAATCCTCTACTGTCTTATCTTCACCAGAATGACAACAGCCCAGCCTACATGTAGTAAACCGACTCTCTTTCCCTAAGCTTGCTATATTTTAGTCCAGGGTCCCCAACTTCCAGGCCTTGGACTGGTACAGGTCTGGATGTGTTAAAAACCCGGCTGCACAGCAGCTGATGAGCTTGAATGTAATGTGCTTGAATCATCCTGAAACCATCCCCCACCCCTGGTCCATAGAAAAATTGTCTTCCATGAAACTGGTCCCTGGCACCAAAAAGGTTGGGGACAGCTGTTGTTAGTTTTTTTCTTCCCCCAGAAGGAAGAAAATGGTTGAGTCAAAGAATGAAGTCACTAGGAGCCTTTAAGAAAGATCTGCCAGAAGTGTAGCCAAATTTACAATATTAAGAAAGTGCTTTCAATGTCAATTGAGGCTTGTGGTATTTATTTTAAAGTACAGCATATTAATTTATTCATATATACATTTACTTTACATCATTACATTTTCATATCAAAAACTAAAGTGTTTTTAAGAATTTTTCAAAGTCCTGTATGGAGGCTTTGGCAATCTGTTCACAAAATATTTCATCAGGCATTGATACCAATTTGTCCAAAGAGATGTAGTTAGGTTTTGCTGGGTCATACTGTGCTCTTCCTAAGTAGGTCAGAAACAAATGTCTTTCTTTGACTTTAAACAACCTGGTATTAAATACCTACAAAAGAAAAAAAAGGTTAAAAAAACTGTGCACTGAAAGATGAACTATTAAAATGTTTATAAGGCTACAAATAAAGTACTGACCGCATGCTCAGTAAATAAGTTAAGTGCCCAGGGTTTAAACCCTATAACTTTCACTAAGAAATCATGATTAAAAAGACCCAAAACTCACAAAAAGAACAATAAAAAAAATAAGGGCTATACTGTAGGCAAAGAGTATTGACTAATCAATACAGAGACGTGGGAGAAGTTGTTAAAAGAGCAAATCCTCAGGCTCCAACCCAAACCTACTTAATCAGAAACTTTGAGAGGGAAGCCCTTAAGTCCTCCACAAGATTCAGAAGCCAGCCAAGTTTGAGAACCAACCTTAGAGGTCAAGGTCCATGGGCCCCCAAAATGTGTAAGATTTCACAATCTGTGAAGCTTTCCTATTTGTTTTTTTGTTTGCTTGTTTTTTAATTCTGCTCACAACAAAATGAAATAAATCTGGCAACTAGGGAAGAAAAGTATACATCTTTCCTGTCTCAGGGTCAAAACCCCTAAGGAGGAGAGTGGGTAGCAGCAACTTTACAAAGGAATCAGAACCAGGCTAAATCCAACATCAGCTTCAAGGAAGAAGGGAGGATTGGGAGATCCAGCCAGGCTGGAAAGAGCCCTACGCTGCAGGGACGGACTCCCGGGAGGCGCCCCAGGGAAGCCCAAATGAACCACATTCAGTGTCACGTCTCGGGCTCTGCCTTTGACTGTTTCAGGTGCACAGGGGCCACTCCACTTGGAACATGACCTCCAGGAGCCTTTCTTTCTGTTCAAGTGGAAATAATATAATGGATCACTTGGCAAGGGCTTATGTAAAACAATTGTTGAAAACTCAGCTACAGTGACCAAAAAAAAATTATGGTGTGCTAACTCAACATGGGACTGGCTTGCATTTGAACAAAACTTTTTTTTTCTCTCTGAAAAAGCCAATTACAGGCTGTTCTGCCTTCATTTTGATAACTAAATTCCCACTACTGTTCATAAAAATGTAGGGAGTGTCGAGATGTATTTCTTTAGAACAGTGATTTTCAACTGGTGTGCTGCAAAAATTTTAAAACATGCAGTACCCGACTATTTGGTCAGGCACTGGCCTCTTTTCCCTTAGACTGTCAAATTAAAAAAATAACAACAGCCAACACAACAATAGCTGCCTGGTGTGAATGAATCAACATTACATTTATTTTTTGGTAACATCAGCAAAAAGTATAATATGTTTTTTATTGTAATATATTTTTTGGTGTGCTGCAGAATTTTATAATTAATTTATGTGCGCCATGAGACGAAAAAGGTTGAAAATCACTGCTTTAGAAGTCTGACTCTTTTGCACTGACTCTCGGCTTACAAAATTATCATAAAATATACAAACGAGACCACGAAGAACTCTAAAGCTCCCAACTGTTCATTATACATCTCCTAAATATGACATTTTAAAGCATTTATATATATATAATTTATGACCAGATATGATGTTACTTCTCTAATGGTTCAAGGTTACTTTCTTATTTGAGATTTGGGTGATCTTTCCAGTACAAAACCGTAACTCAGATCAGGTTTTTTTTCCCTTGTTTTGATTGCTAACCACCATAGGCCACTTTGCCATTGGCAGAAAAATTTCATTCTGTTCATGATCCTTTAAATGATCAGGGATTAAAACAAAAACCCAGCCCATAAGTCACTGATTCCCCATTTCCAAACGTGGACTCCCGCTCACCCTCGGGGAAGCCTGCAGTGGGAGAGGGACGCACAGCCTCAGGGGCTGCTGAACAGCACGTCCCTCCTTGACCGGGATTTCCCCATGTCATTGCCCTACTGCTTTTGTTGTCCATTTCCATCCATGATCCTGCCTTGAAATGACTAAATTAACCATACCTATTATGTTAGAATTGTTTCCCATTTTAACTAATCATAAAATAGGTGCCAACAATAACTGTTATTTGCTTGAGAAAATTAGTTTCCCACCAGAATTTTTAAAGCACCTGCCAAAAAATTCAGTCTACAAATGAGTTCCCTCACAGCCTATTGTCAATTAATGTATTTTTTCATTAATAAGCCTTGTTTTTTTTTTTTAATTTCCCAGTAATACTACCCGGATCCCTAGGAGTCTTAAGGGTCCTCATTGGGAAGCCACAGTTCTACAACTGGGCTTTCCAGAACCTAGAGTTGGGGTGCCTGAAATCTGTGTTTATAAATTTGATTTTAATGTATCTGCTCAAGTTTATAGCTTCCACTACTTGTAAACTTACTGTCCATCTTTTGAAACACCACTCATTTTATTGACAACTCAAATGTCACTTCTTAGAGGGGCAGCAAATCCTAGTTAAGAGCAGGGTTTTTAAACACGGCTGCCAAAGTTCTAATCCCTGCCCCTTGTTACCTGGGCAACTTCAGATAAGTTACTGAACAAGTTATCTCTTTATGGTTACTTTCTTCATTTATAAGATAAGGACAATAATACCTACTTCATATGGCTGCTGTGATGATTAAATGAATTCATACAAGTAAAGCAGTAAAGGCAGGGCTGGTACATAGTAATCACTCAATAGCTGTTGTCATTTCTACGATTTCCCTACCTCTTCTGAATTAAAATAACTCCCTAAGACATGTGGCTAAGACTCTAACTTTATGGAAAGCAATGGCATTTTTAAAACCCATCTAATGTTAGATTACAAATTCCACAAGAACACAGGCCACGTCCGACTGATTTCTGTGTTCTCAGATCAGAGTCTCTTACCAGCTTTAACTGTCACTGAATTATCTACGAAGCCCTGGGAAAAAAACAGGTGCCACTGCTTTTTAGATGAAGATTACTTACTTTACAATTGTTCCATAAGTCAAAGTTGCAGCACTGCAGGCTTCTAACACTTTTTATAATGAGTGTATATGCATTCGATAAAACAGAAAACAATTCTCTATTAAGGACCCATTCACAGTGAAGTATGACAGGTAAATAAACATTGCCATTTGTGAAAGGATCGGCCCAAATGCACAACAGTTCCGAGAATTATATTAAAGTCATATTTCTTTTGCCCATCTTTATATAGTAACACATGTAGCAAATGCAGAAGGATCACTTTAATAAAATTCAATCTTCCATTTATCCAGTGAATACTTACTTTAATCACATGGCAATCAGGAAAGAAGGATGACTTTGATGAGATGCAATCATTCATTTGTTCAACAAATAGTTACCTAGGGCCTACTAATTGCCCAGTAGAGTTCCAGGCACTGGGAATTCAACCATGTATATAAATAAAACAAGATCTATGCTTTCAAAGAGTTAACATTCTTAAAAACAGGCAGATAATGTCACTCCCCAGGTAAAGTACAGGAAAGTCTGATTAGCTTTAAGAGACAATTAAAACTTTGTCATGATGGCGAGCTGGAACTGTTTTATGCTTTAGTAGGAGATCATTACAATACAGTTTGTTAACTATCAGACTGAGATGGATTTCGAATGAAAAGTATGCATAACTCTGAAAGGACCTCTAGGGGAAGAGATCCATTCCAACCTTAAATGGAGAAAAACATAAAAGAGGATGCATTAGAGTTCACTGGATCCTAACGAGGATCCAGTGAGAAGTACAGAGAAATAGATTCACCATTTATTTCTCCGCTGCAGATGGACATGTGTGCCCCAGAAGTTATAAACTTTTCACAAGCCATCTCTCCCTCTACTGTTTGCTAGGTGTGCTCTTGACAAAAAGATGAACAAAAGAAGTATGACCTATACACAACTCTCAGAACTAGACTGCATTTGGTCCAACTCCTTTACAAACAGCAAGGCATTTTCCCAAGTGAACGGTACCAGGCGAGAGAGCAGCTCCAGACGGAGGGCAAGGGCGGCTCTCACAGAGCACCACGCATTACCTGTGGGACCCTGACGATGACGTGGTGGGGAACACTCATCACATTGTGCACATAATCGAAGATCTCTGTGAGTTTCCTCTTATTTGCAGTTAACATCTTTGGGATTTTGGTAATCATATGCTGAATTTCGTTATGTTTAAAACCTAGTTCAAGACGATAAACCTAAAAGAAAGTAGAGTTGCTATAAATCATGAATAGAAAGTTATCTTGGTACTGTGCCAGAGGACACACTAATTCTCTTAAAATTTAAAATAAGGACATTAAAATCTGGTGACAGCTACTCGGATGCCCTGAAGGGATCACAGCTTCCCATTTGTGGGGTAGTTTGAATTTCAAACCCCTCTCCTGAGAATGAGCTACTCACAGCATGGTCATCATTAAGGGGACCCCAAAGGAGTCATCGTAACCATGGGAGAATGAAGGTGGGCACGGGAGGCCTGGCCAGGTTACCGTTATGGGCCCCACCATACAGACCAGCGGTATGAGTTTCAAAGTGCTTTTTGAGCCTCTGCTCCCAAATGTTATCTGAAAAAGTACATGTCAAAATTCCAGACAGATGAAAATACTAAATACCCACATGTGGATTGAGTCCTCCCTGTGGCCAGTAGCCTACGCATCCCCACCAGTCCCCTGCTTGTACTACTCGGGATGCTGTTCCCCCCGCCAGACTGGGAGCTCTGTGAGGGCAGGGACTCTTTCCTCAGCACCATGTGTGGGCAGATGCTCAGAAAAAGCCCATGAAGACCGTCTGGTATGTTTGGTGACAGAACTAGAACTAGAACTGGCTACCAGCACAGGTGCTAAGAAAAGTGACCTGCTGGCCACTTCACAGAAGTCTTTGGCATCCAGCCTCCAAAACTCATCTCCCACCTGGGTGACACAGACAGACTCTCATCCTGGGCTGGAAGCAGTTTGCAGGGACCACCCAGACACCTAGTCCTCCCCAGGATTACAGACATTGGTGTCTGCTGGGTGACCCACTCATGCAACACCCGGGGAACATGTGGAAGTATCACCAACCAGAACAAACTGCTCGCTAGAGACTACTTGCTATACCATTTTCTATTTTCATCTTTTTAGAAATAACTTCATTTATCACATAGTATATTTTTAAGATGACAATAGCAAAATTTATTCTCTTCAGAAAATTAAAACACGTAAAGAAAGCAGCTGACTTCTCAAAAGATTAAAGCGATCCTACCTTCATGTTTTCTTTCACAGGCTCCAGACTTCCAGTTAGCAGCCTGGGGAGGCGAACTACCAGATCTCTGGTCTATAGTTATAAAACAATCTGTTATTACTGTTTATGCATATCCAAGCAGTTTGGAAAACCAAAGCACTAACAGAAATATAAAACTAAAAACCCTAAAATGACCCAGTCAGAGAAGTGCTAGGAAACCCATAAATACTTAATACTTACCCATAAACTCATAGAAACTTAATAGTGTTTTGGGAAAATACAAATACTAAAAATAAAACCTAAGGAAACGATTTGGTGGGATATTATAAAATAATACAGCTATATTTTTAACCTAGCAGGCTTATTCATTCACACCTAACAGAAACACGAGATTTAACATTACTAAATGTAGCTGACATGGAAATATATAAACTTCTCCCACTTTGCTTACCTTCTTCACATTAAGTTCGAGTTCTTTCTGAAAAAACCCCAATCTGTTATCCAGTCTTTCCACTGAAAAGCTCAACAAAAACGGTGCATTCCTGACCATCTGGGTGATATCTGCCTTGCTGAAATTTTTTGACTGTAGATAAGCCACTCTAAGGAAACAAAAATAAACATACGTGAAGAACACTGACTAGTGGAATGCTATGTTCCAAAATAACTACTTTTTTTTTAAAGGGCTTTCACACCCAAAAAAAAGAGACAGAGAAAGATTAAAGAAAACACCATTCTACAATAATGGCTCAAATATGGTTAAATTAAGCATCCACCCAATCATTAGAGTAGTTTCCATTTACACTTAAAAACAGAACAATAATTCCTCTTTCAGTTAATCTGATTTATTTTGTTACTTGGTAGAAAAAAAAAGATTTTTTTCTTTTTTAATAATTTTATTTATTTATCTTTAGAGGGGAAGGGAAGGAGAGAGGGAGAGAAACATCAGTGTATGGTTGCCTTTCGTGTGTCCCCTGCTGGGAACTGGCCTGCAGGGAACCGACCTGCAACCCAAGTATGTGCCCTGACTGGGAATTGAACTGCGATTGTCTGGTTCGCAGGCCTGTGCTCAGTCCACTGAGCTACACCAGCCAGGGCAAAAAAGATTCTTAAAAAAATTTTTTTTTGTCTAAGAATAGAAAATACACAAATTAAGAAAATAGATTCAGAATTCTTTTTTACAAAGAAAGACTTTCAAGCATGAGACGAAATTTTTTATGTTAGTATCTCAGAGAAACTGAAAGGAATTTTTCTATTTTAGGACATTTACTGAGTATGTATTTTTACAACTAACTTTTACTGCAGTCTTTCAATATGTATTCTGTTAACAATGAAGACGCCTCCTAAGTTGCCGGAAACCAAAGTAAGGTACTTAAACGTACAAAGTCTGAAAGTCTACAAACATAGTAAAAGTCAAAGTCAGTTTTCTTAAGTGCCTAAAACATACCAGGACATTATCTCATTTAATTCTTACAACCCCCCCCCAAAAAAACCCCTATGAACCAGATAAAATTTCTATATTACATTTGAATAAAACATAGATCCAGAGAAGTTATTTACGACAACCAACTAATTAACAACAAGTTGAGATTTCATCTAAATTCTGACTATCTTTAATGCCTTTGATATTTTTATACCATGTATTAGACCTTATATTTTATATTCAAATGACTATTATTCTTTAAGCAGTCTGTTAAAAACAAAAAGAGAAAAGACTGATAAATTTAACTATAAAAATTTAAAATTCAAGGCAAGAAAACAGCATCAATAAAGCTGAACACAAGTGACAAGTCTGGGGAAAATATATTTGTTCCTATGTCATAGGAACAAATAAAAGAATGCTTACCAAAAAAAAGGGGGGGGGGAATAGACATATAAAAAATGCTCCAAATATTTGATGCTCAAAACATCATTTCAAAAACAGCAAGGCACTGTTTTTATCTATAAAATGAACTGAAATCACAAAGTTTGATTACACTGTTTTAGTGAGAACAGGTCACTGGCATTTCCGCACACTGTTGGTGGGAGTGCGAACTGGAGAACCACCTATAGGGCAGAGAATTTGTCAGTGCCTGTTAAAATTACAAATGCACATACACTTTGACCTGATAATCACCCTAGACACACACCAGTATGTACGGAATGACATATCTACAAGGAGAGTCACTGCAGCCACACTGACATAGTGAAGGCTGCAAACAACGACCACGTTACCAACGAGACCGGACAGATCCAAAGTATAAACTACAGTGGGGTGGAGGAGGAGTAGGAAGCACCAATGAAAAGTTATGTCCAACATACAGCTAAAGTAAGAAAGTGGGGTTTCGAGTACTACGTGATAAACACCACCAGTGCCATGTGTGTTCATGTGTACGGTAGAACATTCCCAGCAGGTTGAACAAAACACTTGACATTAGCAGCTGCCTCTACAGGTGGGTCTTAGAAGGATGCTGAGGGCTGGGACTAAGTAGGTAGAGAGGAGGATTCCTTCTTGTATGTGTGGCAGCAGGGAGCAGTAGCTGATGAAAAACATCAGAACAGTTGTCCGCATTATGATAATTTTCCAATAAAACATTAACATATAAGGCACAACCAGAAAAATAATTTTAATATAGATTATTCATTTGAAAATTCTTACAAAGAATCAAATAACTTCTTTATGGACTTAAAATTTTCTTTATTAAAACAAAACAAAAAAGCACAAAAAATTTTTAAAAACACTATATGAATTTAATGCCGGTATAGAAAATTCTAGAAAATAAGAATGTTGGACACATACCAGAGCTAGAAGCTAAGTTCAATTAAATCTTATTTTTCATTGTATATCCTTTAATTTAATTTTAATTTTTAAAAATTTTAGCTATTATCAATTTTTAGAGAGAAGGGAAAGGAGGGAGAAAGAGAGCAAGAGAAAAACTTCAGTCAACTGCCTCTCATATGTGCCCCAAACCAGGACCACGAGCACAACCCAGGCATGTGCCCTGACTGGGAATCGAAGCAGCAACCTTTTGTTTTGCGGGATGATGCCCAATCAACTGAGCCATACCAGTAGGGTTCATTGTATATCCTTTTGAGGACAAGTCGATATATTAGCTATTAAAAAATTCAAAGTAATTTAAAAAACACCCCACAGTTTGATTTGTCAGCCAGGGGTGGGAACCATTAGACTATTATCCATATGGGAATACCTCATGGTTGTTAGGAGCATTTACAACTTAAACTCCCTTTAAGTTAAAGTTTCCTTCATGGGATTAAAAATACAGACACAGTATGGTATGGACTCTCGAGTCAGACTGACCGGGTTTGAGTCCCAGGCTTGCCATTTATACGAGCCGTGTCATCTTCAGCAAATCATTTAGCCTCTCTGTGCCTCCCTTATTAAATGGGAGTATTAATAACAGTACTAAAGTAGGAGGCCTGTAATGGCTCCCGGTGATCCCCACCTCCTGGCATGCACGCTTTCTCAGAATTAATTTGAGCAGTAGGGTAAGCTGGTTCTGGAATGGGAGGGAGCTGGTGTTCCAGACGGCCAGGAGATGCAGATCTGGGTATGTCAGATGGACTTTCCTAGAATCACTCTTTCTCTCCCCTGTGTTATAATGCAAGTCCCATGAAGGGAAAGATCATGACTGTTTTATAAGATATGAGTCTAGCTCAGTGCTTTGCGTGTATAAAAAGGGCTCAAATTGTTCAATATAAGGAATACTATGGTCTGTTTTTTCCTAATTCAGAAAAAATGACATTAAAACTATGAAGGTTCAAGGAACTGCAAAGCTCCCTGAAATGCAGTGAGGCTCAGCACTGGTGTGAGACTAGTCTAGGGGAGAAGACTAGAGGCTGACAGGGAGGAGACTGAGGCAGCAAGCGGTCTTGCTAGAAGTGATGAAGTCTTTGAAGTGAAGATTAAGAGAAATGCATGAACTGACTTGAGAGGTATAAAAAGGTAAAAGTGATAGAGTGAGATGATTTATTAGAGGCAGATGCTGTAAGAGGAGCAGCCCAAGTTAATACAGTGTTTCTGACTTGGCAGGGTGACAGTGCTCCCATTCAGTGAGTCTGGGAAGGCAGGGAAGTGATTTAGATGGGAGGCAGGGGCGATGGTGGATTCCGACTGTGAACTTACTGACAGGGACTCTGTTTTGTTCTCTCCGGTGTTCCCCATGCCCAGCAGAATTCTTATTTCACAGAGCAATACTCTCTCACTATACTGATATCCCAGATTCAATGAATTCTTTGAATGTTGAATGAAGCACAAAATGTTTATAGAAGTGTTACTGAAAGATGTCAAAAAGGAACAATGAAAATAGCCAACTTATGGGAAAGATTAAGCAAATTGTACAATAATCTGCCAAGATATCAAATGTTTACCATGAAAAACTGGCCAGTAAAAAACACAAAAGCTCAGACTTTCTTAAGTGTACTCGCAGAAAAATCCTGCCATTTAATGCATTAAAAACAAAAACAAACAAAACACCTTACTCCAGTTTCCAAAGAGGAGCATGTAAGTACTGAGTTAGCAAGAAGTTTTTATGCTTTATGTTTTTGTTTTCACATAAAAATAACGCAGTTTTGAAGAAAAAAGCTGAGTTTCAATTTTGATAAAAAAAGGTCCAAACAAAACAATAATGTTCATGTTCATTATCTCGGTTGATCCTTGCACAGCTGAAACTTAAAAAATAACTTCCATACTTATGTCCCTCATACTTACTTCTTGGGTTAAATGAGAATCATTCCAAAAAGCCTACCTGGTCTTAAGATTTTCAAGGTCTTCAGAGAAAATAGCGTAATTTTTAGTCAGGAATGCTCCCAGCTGGTTATCCTCTATACCCAAATCTTTAAGAAACAGGAGTATTTGCTTAATGTCTTTTTCAAAATCCAGTCTCAGAAGCAGGTTGGCTGCATCTGGGTGTTTTTCTATCTTGGACAAGTTCACTCCTACAATAAATTACAAACGCTGTTGGAAGAAAACTGCTTAACTCTGTCATTAAATTTCATGCACAGAAGCTCAAAAAACTAGTGATGGAGATCAACAACCTGTCTGAAGGCGAATTGAGAGAAGCCAATAGAAACTTCAAAATATTTTTAAACTAATTGCTTGCAGAAATAGAAATAAATTAAAATTAAAACACAGTATTTATTTCAAAGCCATATGTAGAGAAAAATAATGAATTTGGGGCTAAATGTCCACCCAAAACAAATTCACTCACTCATATGAGGATCCCTGAATATTGTTTGAAGAGTGCTTATGAGCCCCTAATGAGCTCTACAGTAATACTTCACTGGTAATTCTGTGGGGTAACAAACCATGAGAACAAACTTAGTTTCCTTGAAGTTTTGTTTTTTTATCATTTCCTTAATTATAAGCATTATTTTAAAATATACTTATGATCCCCTCCATAGGAGGACTAGAAAGACTCTGTATCTTAAGTGGTCACTGTCCTCTCCAGGTCTTTAGCAGAGACAAGTGCCTCGAAGGGGCTCAAGAAAGGTCTGTGTGAGCACAGGTGGGCGAAGCAGCCTTCCAGCACACCACAAAGCAGAAAGTACACTGCCAGGAACTTCCCCATTTTCTTACAATCTTAGGTAATCAAAGTAAATTAGATGAAAGACAGGAGAGAAAGAATAAAATGGGGAAACATCAAGCTGTTACTGCAATTCATTCTTTGGTTATGGATGTAATTAGATGCCAGCATTAATTAGGCAGAGAATCAAAGTAATCTGTAATTCAAAATTCTCATTAAAACTGAGCACTCTATTCTCTCATTTTTTCCTTTTATTTGTTTAAAAAAATAAGTTAAACATGAACAGGGAAGGCCTACTCCTTATCTTTAGAGTAAACATTTGAAGATATGTAAAAGCTTAAGTCTAGACTCAAATTTCACAGTCACTAAACTCATCAGATTAAAAATAACTCTCAAATCGATTTCTAGATGCAACTGTCCAAATAGAAATGCAATGGAATGAAAACATTCTTTGCTTAATGGTTCCACAACTAGAAAAAGGGGTAATTCCATATTGTTAGATCCAAATATAATTCTAAACTCCAATTTCTGAATATTAAACAGGTACTGATATAAGAGGGTCGAACGCAGAGAAACCGATCACAGGCACAGAGTGAAGACGGGAAACAGGTCCAGGTCGAACTAAACGTCTGGCGCACGATGAAAACGGCACTCGAACCAATGGGGGGAGAGGACTATTTGTTAGAATATAATGGGACCACTTGTAAAATTAAGAATTCCTTTGATTATCTGATACAAAAACTAACGTCATACAGATATAAATCTAAGAACATATCAACTTTAAAATATTATTGGAAGAAAACAGAATTTAAATAATAATATTAAGTTTGACTACATGTAAGTATGCAACCTATGTATAGCTTTCTCCATGGTAACATTTGCATCAAAAGCGGTCTGGGAAGCTACTGGACAAAGTGGTATGAGAGTTACCTTTGCAACAGTGGACCTGCAGGAGTAGAGAGGGTGAGTTCTTTCTTTTGTAATATTTGTACTTTTAACAACCCAATGTAATTCTTTTGTGATTTAAAATATTAACAGAAAAATACCATTTTTGAATGGATGGATAATTATGTTAGAAACCTGTGCTAAATGGGGGAAGGGATGCTTTAAAAATAGCACAAAGGGCTCAGACTTTGAATTTACGCACATATCACCGCTTCCAGGTGCTGAAGTGCCGCGCTCAGCAGGAGCTGTCACACCCTGACTGCGCTGAACCAGGAATCCTGAAAAGCTGCTTTTTAATAGCAACAGGAGAGCAGAATCTCATCAGGAGGGCACAGCGCTGTCAGCACAAATCACGTGGGCTTCCTTACAATTTCATCAACTTGAAAATACAGTTACTGAATGCCTACCGTGGACCAGGCACTTCTGGTAGGCACCAGGGACACAGAAAATGAATCATAAATACATGATCCTAACTTGTAGGTGACCACAGTCTAAGTTGGCTTTGTCCCTTCAGTTTGGTAAATACAGACATCACTGCTCTGTTCACTCAGTGTTATACATATTTACTGGATCAAGCAGGGGCTGGCAGGCAAAAGAAGTTGCCCGAGAAAGTTCAGATGAAAACAACTTTAATGAAGGAGCTCTATACAGTGACCAGAATCAAGAGAACAAACAAGGGCACCCCTAGTGCTAAAGCGACAGGGAGAAAAAGTATTACCCAAACCCAGGGGGAGCTGGAAGCTATGAAGATAGGGTTTCTCAGTAGGAGCTGTTGTCAGGGAGGAGGCAGTTACAGGACCCAAAGCAGAGAGGGAAGAGGGGAAAACTGCCCCGACCTGCCCGCCCTCTCCTCCCACAGGTGCCTCCCACTGGCTCAGGCAGCCCAGAAGCCAGCTGGCAGAGGAAGCGAGTGCACAGACGTTGGCCTCCGGGGATGTGGACCAGGCAGAGAAAGGCAGAAAGCAGATCTGGGAAGCAAAGAGAGAAGAAGCAGACCAGTAGGGTCCTCAAAAATACTGCCGAATGATGCAATCATGGCTCTATAGCAGTGTCACTGAAGTTGCCTCTGAGATGGGCTGTGGAAGCATCAGCATACGGATGAGGAATGGCTGGCATACCGCACAGCGCTAAGTATACGTAAATTATTTAAAGGTAGGGGCCGTGTCATCTGATCTTGTCCTACCCAGAGCACCTATCACAAGGCTGGGAAAGCTGTTCTAGAAGGAAGGAGACTGGCTCCCCTCCTTGCAGCAGATGTCATCTCTCTCTCCCCTTTGAACCCACATAACATTTTATTTATATCTCTTACATGGGACTTATCACTGTCATCCTTGCATTCGAGTTATTCTTACAGATGGGTATTTAGAGATGTGTAAAGCCTTGAAGCTTCTTGAGAACAATTCTCCATACATCTGGGTCACTTGCACAAGGAGAGAGGAGAAACAATTACAATGTTATTAGTGCTGGAATCCAATCAAGGAGTGAGCCTGGAAAAGGGTCACTCTGTTGGAAAGGTCAGGGAAGATATTTTAAAGTAATTTGACCTAAATCAAGTTCTCCAGTTGACCAGGCTGGTCAATGAAAAGAGGGGTGGCAAGCAGCAAAGTGAAAAAAGTAAATGGGGGACCAGGAAGAATTTTGAAGCCATGGGAAAGCTTTGAAGGATTTCAAGTAGGTCGCTGACATAGTCGGATTTGCATTTTAGAAAAAACACTAACATCAGAGAGATTATCAGGGCAATACTGCTGATAGGAAGACTATCAAATTAGAAAGCTCCTAACTTCTCAGTGAAAAATGAGGACCTGAAAAGAACTAAGGCAGTGACTACAGAGAATAAGAGAAGCAAAAGAAGCAAATGGATTTGAAAGACAAACCCTTACTTAACCTGTCCTCTCATCCTCCAGGGGTAAGAAGGTTCATCATCTGGGAAAATCAAGTGAGTGAAGTGCCAGACCTGGAGGCCACGGAAACAGCAGAGGGCTGCAGTCAGGTGCTGGACCGAGGAAAAGCTCAGTGAGATCCGGATCCCAGCGCATTCTCTGTCAACAAGCTGGGATACTTGCGGGGAAGTCCCAAAGAAAACGCTCCCAAATCGGGAGGACAGCAGGCTGCAGGAGGAAGGCTGGGGGAAGTGGGGAAATGGAACAAGCACGCCATCTGACAGGGCTGACTGTAAGAAAAACTGTCCTGAGAGGCCACTGGAAGGTGTGGGAAAATGTGGCCTGAGGTATAAAGAAAACTAATCAAGTGTAAAACTATTATAGTACACTTCCCGGAGAATAGTGAGCAATATTTAGTCATAATGTAATCACTAAGTGATGATTTATATAAAACTTGTTCATATAACTGTATTGGGAGGATTGAAGAGAATAAGGAAAAAATTCGTGTGTATGTACAAGAGATCAACTGATGTCTGAAACGGATGAACCAGGCCGCAGCACTTCTAAAGGTTACCTACACTCAGAACAAGCTCCCCGAGGCAACGCCAGGAAGGATGAAGCAGGCGGAACAGTTTTTCACTAAAAGCCTTTTACACTATTTGACTTCTGTTCATGTATATGTTTTACTTTGGTAAATATTATAAACACTTAATTTAAACAAAGTAGAAAGGGAAATGGAGAATATACTCAAAAAGTACTTGTAAGCTACTCACTTACCTAGAAGGACTAACTTCTGCAGAGTCTCAGAGTGATCCACATAGTCTCGAAGTGTGAATGAAGCGGGGGGCAATGGAGGGTCTGCAATAATCTGAACAGCCTCCTCCTCCGAAATTGGCTGCAACGGAGATAATGGAGGCACATCGTCCAGTGCTTTGAAGCCGGGCACGTGGAAAGAGAGAGAAGCAAGTTATCTCTCCCATCTGTACACTCAGAGCTATTTCTACAAAAACAACTTCCATAGTTTGCTTATTTTTTAAATCTTAGGCTCATTTTAGGATTAAATATCTAAGTCCAAATATTTTCTACTTTTTAATAGGAAAAAGTAAGACTATTTACAGAGATCAACTACTCTTCCTCCAAGATAAGACATTTTTTAAAGACTTCATTTATTTATTTTTAGACAAAGGGGAAGGGAGGGAGAGAGAGGGAGAGAAACATCAATGTGTAGCTGCCTCTCATGTGTCCCCCACTAGGGACCTGGCCCACAACCCAGGCATGTGACCTGACTGGGAACTGAACCAGTGACCCTTTGGTTCACAAGCTGGTGCTCAATCCACTGAGCCACACCAGCCAGGGCATCTTAATAAATTTCTATTCCATTAGGATGAGCTCTGTACAAAATCCCTTCCCCTTTCCTTCACTTTAATTAATAGTTAAGAAATGGTAAAGACCAACTGACCTTCAAGTACATTTAGAAAAAGAGATGAAATCATTCTCAAAAAGATTCATAGCTTGGCCAACAGTGTAACATACTCTACCAGCCTGAATTGTATGGGTTAAAGCAATCATCACATTCTAAAATGTCTTCATTTTGATTCATTCCCTTCTCCAAGTTATCCTCAAATATGTCTTTAAGAGACTTCTGACTGTGGTTCTACAACCTGTAGTCCTTTGCTACATGACCCGGTCTTTGCTAAGTGACTCTAGTACAGCCTTGATTCTGAGGTTTTGTTTCATCTTAAATCAGACTCAGAAAAGAAGATACTGGAAACTATAACCTACTTAAGGCTAAGGAATCAGGATGGTCATATTTTTTTTTTTTGCCTGTAATCACTACACTTTCTCAGTTATTATATCTAGTGTCTCCTCTTAGCCCCCAACCCCTCCCCCACATTCTTTAATCTTCTACATTACCTAATGTCTATTTGCAGCGAAATGTTCTTACACAGAAACATTCCTAGAGTAAGAAGCACAGGAGGATTGTGTAGGGTGACCAGGGGAGCTTTAGGGGTGATGTAACTGTGGTACTGACTGTGGTGGTCATTACACAGCTAAATGCGTGCATCAGAATTCTTCGAACTGTAGATCCAAAAAGGAGGCATTTTTCTTGATTTTATTATTATACCGTAATAAACCTGAATACCAGGAAAAAACATTTAGAATCTAAATAAAGTATGTAGAGAGCAAATGTTGTTTATATAGCTATAAAGTAATTTTATACATATTAACCTATAAACCTTTTATCTTAATACATCAGAATTACCTTCTAGAGACAGCTCAGGATCAAAGTTGGGTATCGCTTGTGGCTGCTCATTCACGGAAGGAAGCACAGTGCTTTCATCAGAGTTAACCTCTTGTTTGGTGGACTGGGAACTATTATTCCATATGGAGGAAGTCCTGTAAGTCTTAAATCCCCACTGGAGAAAGCAATTGTGAAAGGACATCTGAGGCTGAGCAGAAAATCCATGCAACAGTGTTGTTCCTGGTCTCTGAAATCCATTTCTGAGCTGTGCAGCAAAAACGAAGCCATTCCATCTAATCCAGCTGAACCACCTGGGCATCTGTTGGGCAGTCAGGGCCATTTTTCTTAAAGTAGCCTACAAAGAATGTGCATAACCATTCACAAAGAGAAATGTACTTGAATGTTTAAAACAATATTCAAACAGTTAAAAGATAAACTGAAAACTTTTTTATAGCTAAAAGCTATTAAATAAATTTAGATGACTAAAGTAGTTTAAGCACAAGAAAAACCAAAAACAAGAGTCACATTTACAAACCAAAAGAACTTCTGAACTTGAAAAACAAAAAACAAAATCACTGGTATAAAAAATATTTAAAACAAAAATCTGTAAATGTTCAAATTATTGCTGAACTGAATAATGTTAATTTAATAATTTAAAGAAAATAAGGTGACGCAATCAAGTGTTCTTGCAATTTGGTTGGAAGGACATTTAAGAAACAGACTATTGATGAAAACAACACTGAATTACTCAAATGCACTTTATGTACATACAGCTGACCCTTAAACGCGGAAGGGCCCCATGCTCCCTGACACCTGCTGGGGAAAATCCATGTATAAGTTTTGACTCCTCCGAAACTTGGTTACTAATAGTCAACTACTGAACAGAATAAGCCTTATCAATAACATTAACAGTTGATAAACAAATACTTGGTATATGTTATATATAGTGTAGTCTTACAATAAAGCTGGAGAAATGAAAATGTTACTAGGAAAATCCATTTACAGTACTGTACACTGTATTTATCAATACCGTAAGTTTACATGATGAACTGTTAGGATCTGCATCAATACTGTCATGTTATGTGATACAAAACACTGTAGATGTTATATGCATTACTAATAGTAGAAGTCAAAAATAAAAACATCAAAATTCACATTTTTAACAGGCATAACAATTCACATACTGATAACAAAGAAGCACCAATAGAATTGCTTCCTGGTTATCGATTTGCCTAGTGTAATCAATACGATTGTTTTCATATGATAACCTATACACTAATGAAAATGGTTATACATTTTTATGGCATACAGTATTAGTCATGTTCATCATACGGTGCTGGAAACATTGCTAGTCTTTAAAATAACCGCCTACCTGGGATGCTAGGCAGTTTCTATAATCACTGCAGAGAGGGAGGGAAGGAGGGGAAACGAAGGAGGAGGAGAAGGGGAGACCGAGAGGGAGAGGGAGATATTTTATGGTCATGTAATTCTTTGAAAGAAGTTATAAAACAGCGAGAATACAACACGTTATTAATTTTATATTAAATATTATCCGCCCTATGGCTACGTAAAGATAGGCTGCCTGCTTCCATACAAGTCTTATGAATGATGTTCTACATGATGAATACTTAGGCAATAAGGATAAAACAAAAATGTCTCACAGAGTTCTTGTCAGTAGATTTTCACACGAAGACACACCCATACGTAACAGGTAAGTTTATTAACTGCATGGCATGAAGATTATTTACTATTCACTAGGTGGAAGTGGAGCGTCATAAAGGTCTTCCTCAGCATCTTCATGTTGAGGAGGCTGAGGAGGAGGAAGAGGAGGGTTGGTCCTGCTGCCTCAGGGGAGGCAGATGCTGAGCAGGTGGAGAAAATGGAAGGGGAGGCAGGAGTGGAAGGCACATTGGTGTAACTTTATGGAAATATGTTGTTATTTCTGTCTGATGATACTGCTTTTTCATCTCTAACATTGTTTCCACACGGTACCAATCCTTCCCCATTGTTTGCTTTTCAATGCCTGCATCACAGAAGGGTCCATGTAGTAAAGTAAGTCCAAAGCAGCCCTGGCTGGTGTGTCTCAGTGGATTGAGTGTAGCCTGCAAATCAAAGGGTCACAGGTTCAATTCCCAGTCAGGGCACATGCCTGGGTTGTGGGCCAGGTCTCCTGCTGGGGGTGCACAAGAGGCAACCACACGTTGATGTTTCTCTCCCTTTCTCTCTCTCTAAAAGTAAATAAATAAAATCTTTAAAAAAAAGGAGTTCAAAGCAGTCTTGAATAATTATAATTTTTCTGCCAGGTTGTCCAATGCCAGTTAGTTTCCTGGCACTGCTCCTTCTATGTCTTCTTCCTCATCGTCTGGCACAGGTTTGGAAGTGCTGGTCTCCATGAAGTTGTCTTCTGTTAATTCTTCTGGTGCGGTGTCTATTGCCTCTTGGATTTCTCTAAGATCCACATCTCGGAACCCTTTAGCCCCTCTCTCCTCCTTACTAATAAACGTGCTCCGTAGTGCTTTGTTTTTCCAGGACACTTTCGCCTGCATTAAAGACCTGTTCATTCAGATATCCATTCCCCTCAATTATTTTCTTAATGATGTCTGGGAACTCATCTGCTGCCCCTTGGTCAGCAGATGTTGACCTTTTGTTATCTTGACCTTGTTAAAGCCAAACCTCTTTCTAAAATGACCAAGCCATCCTTTTCTGGCATTCAATTCTCCAGCTTTAGATACTTCATCTTTGTTTTGCATTGTCATATAATAAATTTGCCTTTTCTCAAATCACATTGGAGTCTATAGGGTATGCCTTAATCCTGCACTCATAGAAAAGATGCATTTTAAATACAAGAAGTTATTTTGCAAAATGTATAAGGTTTTAGTGCTTGCTTACTGGGAACCGTCCTGCCTAGTTTCAGAACCTGTAACTCCCAGGGCAATGGCTGAGTAAAAAGACCTTGGGACCAGAAGCCATTTAGGAGACAAAGCTTATCTTCCTTGTAGGGGCACCCTGCTTGGCCGAAGGCAGATGACTGGTTAGCCAAGAAAGGGTAAGATCCCTCAAAGGAGGGATGATCTAAGACAGGCATGGTTGTAAAGGGGCCCTCAGGGAAGGACTTGGGGGGCTATAGAAAAAGGGGGTGATGGACCCTCACCACTCAGCTTTGACATAGCCTGAGTCCTCGTTCTGTCTACAAGAAGGCTCCCAATCTCTTTGCTGCCTTACTTCCACTGCATGACTTAAGCCTGAAACAATGCCAGAGGTGTGTGTGGCCCCGTTCTGGAAAGGGTGGAATGCCCGGAGCCTGGGGCCTAAGAAAGAACGCACAAAATCCTATGAAACCTGCTAATAACCTCAATTTAAATGATAAGGGTCCAAGCCTGAAGTGAGTTTGTTCCCCAAAGTTTTATGGCCCTCTGACCCTGATTCAGAATTAGCCCTCAGAGTTCTTTGCATGTTATCTATTGTTTCATCATTACTGCCTGCCAATGAATGATGAGCTTTATGGATACACCCTGTATGCCTATGCAAATAAAGCTAATAAAAGCCTGTCAAGGCAAGAGTCAGGGTCCTGTCCCCTTTCCTCCACAGGACTCAGTAGTCCCTGTGCATTTGTCTAGTCTCAACCATAATGCCGCAGATACTGAGGGCCAGTGTTCGCATCACCTGCTGGTGTAGCTGCAGCAAATGCTTCATGAACTTCCTTTTTTTTTTTTGCAGTGGTCTTTATGCTGGATTCATTTATGTTGAAATGCCCAGCAGCTGCAGACCATATTAAGTACGTATCAAAGAATTCAGCTTTATCCTGTAATGCTATGACTTTGCTCTGGTTCTCAGGAGCACTTCCAGGGTTATAGTGGCACTTTGTATGAGTGTCACTCAAGGTTTTGGGTATTGCACTAAACACAATGCGATATGCAATTTGCCGGAGAGGAACAGCGTCACACAACAGGCGTTTTAAGAGGATACTTGCAAAACTTGAGTTCACCACAACAGCAACACAAAGTGGTTATAAAATTATTACTGTGTATGCCACAGTGAATTTCACATGGTTATATTTAATACTTCATCTTATATCTGTTTATATTTCTCTGGACTGGGCCTGCAAATGTTATCATGTACAGTCTGTAAGTGTTGTCTGTGCAAATTTTGATATTTTAATTTTTTATAATAGATTTCTGTATGTTTTGTTGTAGTAAATGATTAAATAGACTAATATCTACATATATTTTATGCATTCATAACATAGCTTTTTAAATTTTTTTCAATATTTCTAGGCTATGTGGTTTGTTTCCAAGTTTCTTCAAATTGTCATTGGACAGTTTGGCACAATGTCCAAAAATGTTTCCAATATATTAAGTGAAAAAAATCTGCATGTAGGTGGACCTGTACAGTTCAAACCCACGTTGTTGAAGGGTCAACTATACATTAGTCACAAAATAAAAAACAGGAAGAAATCTACTGTGTCTGAAATGGATCATCAAAGAATTACCATTGCTATCTAGAAGGCTGCTTCTTGCTTCATCCTCAGGGCTAAACACTGTTGATATTTCACAGATAAAGCTGTGAAATACCAAAACGGAATTGAATAAAACCAGCTTTGTCAAATTCTGTTTGTAGAAAAAAAAAATGTCTTTACAAAAAGTCAAAACTAGAAATTGAAGAGAAGTACGTTAACAACCAGCAATGAATACATGTATATTTATGATAGAAAAACAGTTATTTTATAAAGATTTTTATAAGGCTGATAAATGTCTAGAAGGAATATTTAAGAATTTATATTTAGTCAGCCTAATTAAAAGGTAAATTTGATGTATATATCAGTTCACTAATAAGTTAATACATAGAAAACACAGCCTGGAGTGCAGCATATGGAAAATGCTCCACAAATATTACTGATTATTATTATTGATCATGCAACCAAATATAAATAAATTGAACATAACTTTCTGCTTTGTTTTTCTGTATACTGGAATTCAGCTTGTTTTATTCTCTGAATTGGACCAAATACTTCAGAGTCTAACATTCTCCTGGACATTTTCACAGTTGATCATTCAACTGTGGAGGTTGAAGTTTGGAGGTTAGGCACACTGACCACCGTGTAGTTGTAAAGCTGGGTATAATACAGTCCACTCTCCACATAGGCAAATTCCCAATCGCAAATCAAAAATGCTTAGAGAACTCTCCTGAAAGGGATTTAAAAATATTTTTAAAAAGAAATGAGCATTCACAATAGCCTGTGACATAGGTGAATTTTGTTAGGAAATGAGTCAAGTTTTCCTGAAAACCTGTAACATTCATTCTCTGCCCAGCAAAGTCATAAGGCACAAAATTGAAAGCCAGAAGACCTCAATTAGGCTACCTTGACAAGACTAAGTTTCTTGGGGTGGCCTAGAACAATGTCTGGCCCATGATAGGATTCAATAACCATTCTTTAAATTATAAATTCTTAAAAAGTTACAGGTACAATAAGATGATTCATTCTTAAGGTCCCTATTACCTGTAAAATGCTTTGACACTAAGTTTATGAGAATTTCCTCCTACTTTGAAGCAAACTGCTGAAATTCCAATTTCACTCTGAAGTCTTTCCAGTCTCAAATTAATCATGCCTCCTCCCACAAGAGACAGATTAGTTTGGTATTCCATCCACAGTCATGAAAATACCTTTATGTATACAAGTCATGTTTGTCCCTCTACTTTAATTTACAAGTGCACCACCTTCTCCACATCACTTCACTTCGGTGTATAAATTTTAATGATTAACTCTTCCCTCAGGAGAGCAGGGGTTCATCTCTGGATTCCTCCTCCCAGTGACTATCGTCCATTAGCCTTGCCACCGGGGTGTTGGGCCAAAATAAATCAACTGCAACTAAGGCTAACTCATTTGTCTACAGAGCAAGTAAGACATTTTCGTATGTGTATAAAGGCCCTACTCAGTGATGGCAATCTTCTAACTGGACTTTCTCACCAGGAATATTAAAGAGAAAAGCCTCAAAAAATCCTGATTCAGTCCATTAAAATATCACATCCTTCTCAAATGTGCGCCTTAGTACTTCACTAGGGATAGGAATTGGCACGCAAATACTGTTCAAGATTTCTACCTCTGTAAGGCTAATAAAAGAGTAGATGAAACTGGGTTGGAAAAACGGCTTTGTAAGCAAGCCCTCCCTAGGCCATTTTAATTCACTTTAGTTACCCACTGCGAACTTCCGCAGAAAGAGAGACACGCAGAACTTTGGCGTCCTCTCTACAGCGCACTAATAAGCATGGTTTAGTCTAATCAGCCAGGAGTAAATAACAAATCACCCTCGACTGGGCCCGGGAAACCTAAAGGCCAAGAGGCACTCGGCCTGGACCCAGTTGGGTCCGGACCCAAACCCTGGCCAGGGCAGCGCCGTCGCGCTCCATCAGCTTTCGCTTTACCTGTGGCGAGGCCTAGCTACCTCTTGCGATTCGTTTCCCAGGGGCAGACGGGGTGGCGGAGCAGCGCTTCCAGTCCCAGCATCCCCGCACTCCGCTTAGTCCGCCCGCAGCGCCAGCGCCCCGGTGCAGCCTCGCCCACGTGGGCTGCGGCGGGAGTGGGCGAAACCATCTGAGAGAAAGCGCGGGGAGAGAGCTGGCGACATGTAGGGAGGAGAGAGGGCCAGGGCCCGCAGTTTTCCTTCTCCCCCTCGCCTCTCCCCTTAAGCCTCCCCCACCCATGGAATCTGAAGACACCAGGAGGGCACAGAGCTGCGTCTCCCAGAACGTTAGCTGGGACAGCACCGCAGCGCCCCCGGCCCGAGGCCGCGTTGGCGGTGACGCGACCCCGCCCTCCCGCGCCAGTCCGTCTTTCGGCTCTCAGCTTTCGGTCCGCGACAGACTTGGTCCAGCCGTCCGGCATCCCGCTCGCTGCGGCTCGTCACCTCCGGGGTCCCAGCCTTCACGGGCCGGGACCGCCGCCGCCGCAGGACGGGGAGGCGGGCCATGGCGTCCTGCGTGGGGAGCAGGACCCTGAGCAAAGATGATGTGAACTACAAGATGCATTTCCGGATGATCAACGAGCAGCAAGTGGAAGACATCACCATCGACTTCTTCTACCGGCCACACACCATCACTCTGCTCAGCTTCACCATCGTCAGCCTCATGTACTTCGCCTTCACTAGGTGAGGCGGGCCCGGCCGCGCGGGGGGCGCGCCCTTGGGCCAAAGGAAGGGGTGGACGGGAGGTGGTGTAGGGAGCATGGCCCGGGCTGGCTTCGAGTGAGGAAGCGGGCTGGCTCTCCTCGCATACACTGGCACTCGCAGACCCGCCGCCCACATAGCTCCTCACCCGCCCGGTGACTAGCAGAACACCCATCCCTTGCAGTCCTTCTGCACCTGCGTTTGCCCCTACCCTCCAGCCCCAAGCCCCTGTCTATACTACCTCTTCCCTTATGGCGCCTCGGGCCACCTCGGAACACTCTCGGGGCATCTAGCCCGAATGCCCCCTCTCCTGCCGCACTCCTCATCGCTTCCTATTCACATCACGACACCGGCCCCCTCCTCTCCAGTCCGTGCTTCTACCCAACGCATTGCATGAATCATCTCGTATGCACCACTTTCAGAGCCTACCAGTACAGACTGAAAACACCACAGTCCACAGCGTCACCACGCACCAGGCCCAGGCCACAACCCAGACCCTTTGCCGTGGAACTCCTCCAGTATTTGGCACGACCCCCCATGTAAAAAATGCACTTTTGAGGTGCACTACATCTCCCGTATGCACTGCACACAAATCAGCTAGCATAACCCTCTCCCCAGCCTCAAACACGACCTCCTACAACAGAAACTGTGGACACACATATCGCAGTGGACCTTCCTCCTAGCACTAGTACCCGTCATCTCTCGTGTACATTGCTACATAGACATAATGCATCCTTAAGCACCTAACATACTTGCTGAAATGAGATATTGTCAAGCAATTGTAACAATGCCTGGTGCATAGTAAAAGCTAAGGAAGTGTTAAAGTCATAAACCTCACCCAATGTAGCACAACTCGCTTTCCCCCTGAAAACGCACACACTCTCAAAGCACTTCTAATACATACACCTGTGAGTAGCAGCTAGCCCCCCCCCATCCCTTGACACCCCCACCTTACAACTCTTTGTCACTGAACATGTGGCCTCCCAACCCCATCCCAGGGAACTAATTCATCTCTGGTTCATGACACAAAATCCGTGGGTCCCACTTTCAAAGGATTTATGTTTTCTGAATGAACCTCCTTAAAGAAAGGAAAGGTGTGCCTACCACGCCATTATGGCTTAAAAGACCAACCCAGAGAAGTGTGGTTTTGGACCCAGAGAGTTGTTTTCAAAACTAGCTGTGTATTCTCTGTTAAGTTACTTACCCTTTCTCTTAGCCCCAGGATCCACACCTGTAAAATGGGGATGAAATGTATACTTAACTCATATAGGGTTATGAAGAGTGAATGAATTTGTGTGAGTGAGCCTAGCAGAGTATTTGATGTACAATGCCTGGTTAATATCAGTTACTTCTCTCCCAACATTTTCATCCAACAGTCAATGGTTCTCAGTCCAGGTCAGCAAAAAATGTGCAAGAGTACACTCAGTGATGACAAGCGTTGGGGGAACTTCTGGTATTTAATAGATGAGCATTAAGAGTGCTAAGTGTATTATAGCACATGGGACAGCATCATGCAACAAAGATGAATTGTACATATGGTCATGTGTGTACATGTGCATGTGTGCACATGCACACAAGTGCCAGTGGCACCTCCTTTGGGAATCATTGCAGTTTTTCAGATTTTCATAGAACTGATCATATTCTCCTACACTGCACTTATTCCTGACCTCCAAAATTCATTTGACTGTTCGTTTTTGTTTCCTGTTTATCTATTGTCGTGAATCTACCTAAAGCTATAAGCAGGTGTGTCCAGCCTGCAGCCCCGTGTGCCACGAGCCGCCCAGGATGCCTGTGAATGCAGCCCAACTCAAAATCGTAAATTTACTTGAAACATTATCAGATTTTTTGTGTGTGTGATTAAGTGTTGCAATGTATTTAAGGTGTTGCCCAAGACAACTCTTCTTCCCGCGTGGCTCAGATATGCCAGAAAATTGGACACCCCTGCAAGCATATATAACAGTTACTTACTTTAATGTTGGAGGATATAGCTGCTATTACCATAGTCTTCTGCCAATGCTGTGCTCTAGGGTAAGACCAGACCTTTGCACAGTGTCCAACCAAGAACACATTTATGGCTTCGGAGAGAAATCAGTCTTGTCCCTAATTATGGTTATCCCTCATCATGTCCTCTGATTTTACAACTTCATTAAGCTTCGTGGTCACCGAATTTTGCTAAGCTTCAGTTTTCTTATCTGTATGTAAACTGAAAATATCTGCTATTTCCTCACAGGGTTTTCCGTCATGAGGTTCACTTTGCTTATTTACTTATTGGTAATTTGTGTTTAGCTCAGTGCAAATAGTAAGTGCTCAGTAAACATTAGCTGTTATCAGTATATCACTTTATTGTATGTGAACACCTTCTAACTTGTATTTGTCCTTGATTGAAGTTGTAGGATGGCCTGTAACTGAGAAAAGGGAGAAAGGCATTGGGAAAGTGGACGTTGCTTTGCTTGGATGACACACAGGCCTGTTTCACGTTAACTTTGGTTTAACGTCATCTCAGGTGTGGATTGGCAATGATGGGATTAGTGCAGGAGTTTCTTTGGACATTAGGAAGGCAGTCATATTTTATCTTAAATAATGAGAAACAAGAATGAGCCTTTTGCTTCAACCTTTTTTCTTTAATGTTATTTTAGACCCCTTTGGAATAGATCTCTCTTTTCTAATACAGAAAGTCATGTTCTTCTACAGTATATTCTGTCAAAACATGCAGTAAGTAGCAGCAGTGAAACTATAAGAAATAAATATGAGTCTTAACAGCTTGTCAAAAATAATAGAAAAGGACATAACCTAGATTTCAAACTATGGCCTTTTTCAGAAATGATAATATTATTTCTTCCACTAATCTCATACAGAGACAGAAATTACACACTGAAGAGCTAATTAATAATAAATTTCACCTTATGTAAAATCATAAGTACCATTATTAATCCAGTAAGTAATCATTATTTCCTACTCCTGTTTTGTAATGATTTGTAATCCTTTGAAGTGACATTTTACAGTGATAGCTCTATCTTCCTCCTCACAAATTACAAGCACTCGTTAGGAGGTGTCTTTGAATCTTTGAGCTTGCCGAGTAGACCTCATGAGCAAAGTGCACCCTCCTGAGTTAAAAAATAATTTTTAGACAAGAAGTTATCGTTGAAATTAAATGGTGGCAGACGCGTCCAAGGAACGTTGCAGGGGTCTGATCCCGTTGTGAACCTTGTGATAGAGCACTTTGCTCCACTCCACTTTGGAGAGATGGCAGCCCGTGAGCGGCAGCACAACACTGGAGCGCCAGTAACATGAGAAAATGGTATCATCCTCTTAGAGACCGTGAGACGAGGGGAGAGAACGGCTGTGCTCACCAGGGCAGCCAAGTGCTTCCACATGTGCGTGGCCCACAGCACCAGTTTCACTGCATTGCAGAAAGAGAGTCGAGTCGTGCACATTTTCACTTTGCCCTCTTAGATACATTTTTGTATTGCTCAAAATAAAAGATCGAAAGTAATGACTTCTTAAATGAAACTAATGCTTTCTTGCTCTGTGGTCTCATGTAACGATTCTCTCCGGTACCTGATACTTACTTTGTAACAGAATTTTAGTCAGGTGATGGTTCAGTGCAGTTCTTTCAGTAAAACTTTAAAATATGTCTCAGAGCTTGTTTTTTGAAGACTAGTAGTCTAAGCAAATAGCAGATAGAATACTGTCAGGGTGTCACGTTCCCAGTGCATGAGCAGTAGTGCCTGGGACATGTCACATACTCCAGGGGCACAGCAATAGTTTAGGATAGTGACAGATTAGGTACCTCACACAGAAGTCTGAGACAAGTTTGGATTTGTCAAGTAGTTCTTTTGTTAAATAGCAACTAGGCCAACTCACTGTTGAATCATAGCATGTAAATGTCCCGTCCCTATCACTGTCGTTAAAAATAAAACCAGATGCTATCGAATCATTCTCCCCAAGATTTGAAGAGGCTCATTTTGCTACCTTTTAAAATAAGGATTTCTATAAGTTAAATGCTTTTGGCATATGTTTTATAAGTTTGTTCAGCCAAAGTGGGGCAAGGAGAACCTTTGTCTTAAGCTCAGAGTATAATAATTACCGGAGCGCCTCATATTTACTCTGCTTACAGAGATTGGTAAACTTGTCCATGCTGAATGGCCTTGGTTTCAAACACTCAAGCTTTTGATTTGAAAACACCAAAATCTACTAAATCGAATTCACAGCAGCCCACCCCTCTTTCAGAAGCACTTGGCAATGAAACAGTGGAACCAGCCTCTCTAGTAGCACTCGTCCAACAGACATCGTCACTTACGTAGAAGAGATCACCTTCCTGCAGCTTGCTCTGCCCTGGGGATCTCATCCTGTCCAGGCCGGGTTTCTCCTTGACATGGAATTAAGGA